TTGATTTGGCACGTTTACCATCATTTCCCAGATTATTCCACAATCTGACTGCTTGGATTGAGCTGCAGCGTTCTTTAAACATGTTATAAATTTAGTGTTAGAGGTTGGCTTAGTTATACTTTGGCGGCCATCTTGAATTCTGACACCAAATGTTAATCAGTTGTTGATAACAATCTGTTGACTTTTTTGAAAGTTTTGTAAAAGTTCATTGAGTGATTGAAAGGTTTTGTTAGTAAAATAACACAAAGACACCACTGTTCTGCCTTCAGCAGTGGGTGAAAAACTGCAGGAAGTCCAGAGATGTGTTTTTATTATTAACTGGGTATTTTTTATGAAAATTTCTACATAGGAAGCAAAAGGCAGGACCACACAGTGCAGTGAAAACCTTGTAACAGTGAGGGGAAACAAAGTCTTATCAGTAAGAGATCATCTCACCAGTATGACCAGTTAACGCTCGTAAAAAGCCACAGAATTTATGTAGATGGCTGTAATGTGAATTTTAAGGTGAGGTAAAGTGACGTTTTCATGTCAGGTTTCCACTTTGGTCTTGGTTTCACTCAGACTCAGTTAGCTTACCAATCTGGCCAGAAAACAGGTCTCCAGACAGAAGTCATTCACAGAGCTGCCTACATGTAGTGTGATTGTTTTTTCTCATGCTGCGTTCACACCGAACGCGATTTCAGCTTCAAAATCACATCCAACGCTTCAAGTTGGACGCTCGTGCACTTTGAGGTCAGACGCAGGACAGCTCTTGAAGCGTTGCACGGGAACAGCCTCCCCGCCCCTCCCTCCTCTGTCGGGCTCTGTTTAATGTCGGACCAGGAAGTGGCTTTGCTTTATTTACAGAGAGCAAGAGCATGTCACGTTCATCAGATAATTAATTCATAATTAATTCACCAGATAATTCAGAGACATTCAGAGTTTCATCACCCAGGAGCTGCGGGAGAGGCTCACAGCTCGCTTTCAGGACTATTTTTTTTCCCGAGTCCATGAGTCGCTGCCACACATTGGTG